AAAATATCCTAGTAAATATAACCAGTAGGAAGATGAGGAACTTTGTGGTCTTTAATTATCAGATTACACATTAAAGGTTTCTAAATGCATATATCAATGTCTCATGCTTGTACCAATCCACAGTTCAATGAAAACTAAGTAACAATAATATGGGATCTTTTCATTGTTTAAAAATATAATATGCTCAAGAAAATTTTGAAGGCCTATTTAGATATCAAACTATTAATTTTAGATAATGGTATAAAGCAATTCATTTTCTTAAGGTTTGTCGACACAATTTTCTGATTTTCCTGCCAAGAAGATTTGTTACATGTGTCACTGGGAAAAGTGAAATTTACATATTAAGAGCCTGGCTAATACATGCAGTTAATGAGAGCCACTTAGGTATGGTCTTGCCTTGAGCTGCCTATGACTTCAAGCAGCAACAGTCCCTCCAATCGCTCTCCTCCACCTTACCCTTTCCTTTGAGCCCTAAGCACAAATCCAATTGGAAAACACCACGTGTGGTTGTCCTTTCCTATCTCCTTCCCCAATCCACATCCAAAATAAGAGCAAACATCTGCTCTTCTGAATCCATAATGCCTAAGGTGGTGCCTGCCCCTCAACAGTGACTCTAAAAATATGCAGGGGAGGGGACCCTGTAGTCCCAGGACTACAGAGGCTGAGACAGGAGGATCACCCCAAATCCCAGGCCAGCCGAAACTACAAGTGAGACTATTTCAAAAATATCTATATTTTTTATTTTTTTCACTGCGAATACAGTAGAAGGTATGTGGAATATCCAGTAAAAAGATCAAATCAATGAACTGACAGTAAATATTTATAATAACAACTTATGTTCACAGGTCATTGTCTCATAGAGAAACATTCCCTTTCGAATGGAAAGCAGATGTCCCACAGAGCACAGGGAGGCCAACTGCCCTCATCAATCCCAGAAGACTACAAAGGAAGAGCTTTCAGAAGGTGAATCAACAGAAACCAGGGACTTAGCTGATGCAGCTCCTGATACATCACTGAGGAGAGCTTACTTAGAATCAAAACATTACTCAGGTGTGAGAAGGACTGCAAAAAAAATTCCAAGGATAATTCAGTCAATCGGGGTTAGCAAAAGCAAAGGAGCTTTCCAGAGAATACTGGCGGAGTCTCACAGAGGGCACCTTTCAAGAAGCAGTGACTTCGAGTGCAAGGACAAAGGCAGCACAAGGAGATAAACCAGCAGCAAAGGAGTAAAGAGAACAAATACCTTCACTCTCCACCTGTCAGACTCTCCTGCCAGGCTCCCAGATGTCTTCCGGAAGTCAGGGCAGTTCCTCCAGGTGCTCTTTCTGGGCCCAGCATGAGGCAGAGGGGCTGACAGCACACCTGGAGAGGCAAGCAGAAGAGATGTGAACAGAAGCCAACAGGAATAACAGAGTTTCAGAAAAATGGGGCAAGATGCAGAGACTATATAGAGAGACATGGCAGAGTTCGTGAGTAGCTGAAAAGGATGAAACCCAACACTGGAAGAGAAATGTTATAAAGGCACAATACATATGGGGCTGCACCGTCTGTGAGCCCACTGGAGTCTAACAACGCATCCTGCACTAAAGAGATAGGATTGTGAGAAGAACCCTCACTACTGTACACGGACGACTGTGGCTAAATGTGTACTGGACAACCCAACTGCAGCATGTTTCCAGAAAAAGAACTGATGATAATTAGTGCCTTTTATAGGTGCTTGTAAAGTTTGTAAGTAAGAAAACTCACTTCAGTCAAGAGATTAATTTAGACAAAGGCATCATCATGACAGACTTCCTTCTAATCGTTGTGGATTCATTAGTCATCAGATTAAAGAGTGGCAGAAGTTTCTGAACTGGTTTGAGTCCATATCTCTCAAACTCCTATGAAAATGGTTAAAGCATTTATCTCAAGACAGCCAAAAACTGTCATCAAGATTTATATTGGACTTAATCGTTTCTCCTTTAAAAATCTCCAGAAAATCATTTCTCAACTTTTAGTCAGTATCTTCTAAAGCTGCAGCCATATACTTGTTGAAAGACAGGGGAAATAAAATCAGCTGAACTAAACACCTAACAGCACTCAGCAACTCTCTACTGAGTTGCCTACTCTGTGCTGGCTGTTCGCAAGGGTCTGGGTTGGACAGCAGCTACTTCCAGTCCTAACAGTGGACTTCACACACAGTGACGTCCCTCATGAAGCATCCAATTTACAAAGCCCAGGGTTACACAGTGACAGCACTCATGCTGAGCAGAGGTACCCTGCCCACCCTGCTTCCCCCTCTTTCTAGTCCGACCACCTGGACACAGATCCTACCTAAAATGAAGAGGCGGTGGATTGAGTACGCCATTGACACAGGGCATTTCCCACAGCTTTGCTTAAACAATAATTAGGAAAGCTGCCACTGGGATCCTCAAAATATACGTAAGAACACCGAGATTACTCAGCATCAATTTCGTATAGCAAGAGATTTCCAGGAAGTGCTTTTCCAAATTAGTTTTAAGTACCCTTCAAGTGAAGCCTCTCGCGCTGGGGGTGCCTTGCGTTTCATTCCAGGGCCCGGCACCTTCCCTCAGGTGGTCCCGCGCCCCGCCAAACGTCTGGGATGCTCCTTGGTAGGCACCTTGGTGGCTCCTCAGTCCCTGCCCTAACCTTGCGCGGAAGGTGTCTAAGAAAAGAGCGGTTCCTAAAAACGAGGAAACTGCAGCGCTCCCAGCGCGAGTGGCCACCAGGACCCAGCCCGCAGCTGGGAGCGCGGTGCTCCGGCCCCGCAGGGAGGGACAAACGGACGGCCAGACAGACAGGCACAAGCGTGCGGGCTGCCAAGGGACGCGCCGTGTGCGTAGCGGGACGCGGAGCCAAAGCCTCCGCACGAGAAACCCAAGGGGGCGAGAGGAGACCCGCGGGGTGCAGACACAGCAGACGAGGGAAACGCGGGGAGAGCCGAGGACCTGAGGATACCCAGAGAGGGACGGAAGGACGGAAGCACGGAGGGAGAGCCAGCCGGGAGGAGTGGGGAAGAAGGG